ATGTATGGCAAGGTTGCTTAGGATCAAGAGGGCAGTCTGTCTTTTAAAGGAATGCTGGTCTTGTTACCGAGGCAGAGTTTGGTGATACCAACACATGGCACTGCCATGCAGAGAAAAGATAAATTTCGATTGAATGATTTCTCAGTTAAACAGAGACCAACAGGGAGTTTATAATAAAACAATTTACACTCACTTTGGAATATGACAATGGCAATTTTTCTTGTGCTGAAAACAAACCATTCCTGATGTATGTTTGTGACCCAGCAGGAAGTTTTCTGATGCAGACTCCTTCCACATTTATTCAGTAGCAGACATAATTTGTCCAATGTGTCTAGCAGTATATCATACCATGTATTATTAGTACTGTCACATTTTCCTATGATGCGAAAATCATGGTGAAAAATTTAGATTTGTTTGTAATCCCCCCCAGAAGTGACATATGACCTTCAGCCTTGAAAGTTTAGCCCTTAATGAATTAGAGGCTTAAATTTGCTTCTCTGGTTTTAGATTTAGTTGAATATATTTTTAGTGTAATCTCTAATTCTAAAAAATTTATCAGGTAACATTTTGGCATATATAATAGCAATTTTTCATTCTTATAAGGTAATGTAAATTAAGAGGGGTTCCTCTGTCAGTGCAGTAAATCACGGTGGAAAAACTGACTTCCTTTTTATGGGAAATTTTAGTTGCATTTAGAATGCCTGATACTAGAAGTATTGATGTTACTTATGGTTTATTTTAGCTGCGCAACAGGAGGAAATATTGTTAGTATTTCTGATCTAAAGTCTGATGTCTCAAGTTTCTGTCTTCTTCAAGATGGATCCAACAAATCCCATATGAGACTGGTACAGTCAGGAGAGCAGGGGGATAGAGAATTGCTTGTAAGATCAACTGAACTCTCAGGTGATGTTCAGGATCACTGCAGGTCAGATGGAACTATCATTTCTCCCCAGCATCAAGGAGAGTTATTTCTAAGACTTCCTTGCTGGTACCTTGATGGTACTGACACAGCTGATTCTGTACGAGAGAAACAGCTGGCGTTTATAAGCACAGGATTTTGAAGAGCTCCCGATCTAAGGAAAGTTTTGGTTCTTAGAACTGGTGTTCACCATTGCTTTTATGGGATAAAGGATACCAGAAATTAATTGGAAAGTATTAATAATTGCACTGAAATTTCTGTGCAGGTCCAATGGGAACACATTCTTCTGATTTCTAGATTCCCTTAATAGGAGATTTGTATAGACTTTAAAATATTTTAAATATTTTCTCCTTTAGAAGAAGAATGCAATTTCTTCAGTTCTTTCATTTTTTTTTTTCTTTCCTACTTCTGAGGAAATTTCTGTTTGATCATTAGATATTGCTAAATATGTGACAGGTGAATTAAAACATAATTTGCAGATTAATAACAACGTAAAACTTTAATTTATCTAATTAAAATATAAGCATATATAGAGAAGTATTTGCAGATGCAAGCCATGCACATCATTAGTCTAAAACAAAAGTTGTTTAGATTAGTCCAATTATTAAAATTTAATGCAATCTGTTTGGAGCCAGACTGTGCCTGGTCATTCAGAAATGAAGAAAACTGTGCCTAGGTCTCCAGGAAAGAAATGATTCACCTGTCGTTGGATCCAGTGTAACCAAAGGGCTTGTTCTCTTCTGAGCGTAGGAAAACGCTCTTACTGAGCTGTATGTATTGGGTTATTTGTTGTGTAGGAGAACAGAAATGAGAAAATGATCAACTCTCAGAACTGCCCAAGTCAGTAGACTTGTCAAGAAAAGAACATGTTTCTTCCTTTTTTAGTGACCTGGGAAGTCCTGGGGATCACTGCGCAACACTGTGTCACCATGTCTGTGGGAGTTTGAAGGGCATCCAGGGGGTGGATGAGAACCCAGTTTTTTAATGTAACAAATGAACTTGCAGTTCTATGAGTAAGATTAAACACGAGAGATACTCTCTGGCACATAGCACTGCCTTGGAATCTACTTAGAAACACCTTCTAGCCATTCATACCTGAAGAACTCCCATTACAGTAAGAAAATGGAGAAGAAATTTTTCCGAATTTCTGTATATTAGATCTTTACACCTCCTACTGTGAGAGAGAATTTCATCAAATGTAGGAGTCTTTGAACCCTTTGTGGCACTTTTGTTTGTCAGAGACAATTCTGCTACATCTGACATCTTCCTTAGGAGGGTACAGTATTTTATTAAACAAAGACTGACTGAGCTGGCTAGCAGTAAAAGGAGTGCAAATGGATATCATATCCCTTTCTGCTACTGGAATCAAGCAAAATGATCTAGTATAACTGATTCAGGCTTGCAGACTTGTATAATTTTGTCAGATACCAGCTATCACAAAATAAGAATACTATACTGTAGACAGATTGCTTTGCTGGATAAATCAGATACCTTTCCTTGCAGGTTCAGAAACTTTCAAAATATTCCACCCTTCAGTTTTAAAATCACAGTCTTCTAGAAACAAATTGCTAAATACATCTAGTAGGTGGTCATAGTAGGGTCTGTATTTTTCCTCTGTGCCTGAGTCACTGTAGAGCAGCATCTTCCCTGTACTCCAGGCTGGTAGGTGACAATGGGCTGATCCAGTGGTGAGCTCAAATCATATCCAAATATAGCAACATCTTGATGCTATTATGATGATTACCTCTTTGCAATTGGTATGTCTTAGCTCAGCACAAGAACATAACATTCCTAATGAGATATAGCAATAATTTACCTGTCACTAAATAATCTTTTCCCCACTAAATGACAGTGTCTTACCATTACAAACATGTCCCCATTGACTAAAGCACTAATGAATGCAGGTCTAGCATTATCATATTAGATATTTATGCCAGTTGATAAAGGGAAGAGCTTGATCTGGATCAAAACTCTTCATATCCTGCATGAATCCTGGAGGTAGCTAAAGCAGAGAGGGTATCTTTTCTCTTTCTTGCCTGTCACACAGGAGCCTTGAACTACTCAGGAAATAACTGGAGCAAATGAAGAGATTTTTCAAAGGAGACTAGAGGAGTTAGGCATTGCAGTCTGAGTGTAAGTTTTCCTAAACAGTTCCTTTTAGAATTTCTGAGCCATTGTTCCTGTAAGGCTCAGTTTTAGACTCCCTCTTTAGGCTTTAAGCCCACAAATTTATATGGGATTAATTCTAGGCACGTGGTCCTGTGGACTTCAATAGGGCTACTTAAGCCTGAAGTTTGGCATATGTGTTGGCATGTTCAGAAACAGAACTGTAGGAGAGATTCCCATTTATTTTGATGGGAGTTTTGACTAAATGCAGGTTTAGCCCATGTGTTACAAAAGTCATTCTTTGACACTCCAGCTGGACTGTTGTAACTAGGGAGAAGTTAATTCACTGATAAAAATGTCTATTGGAAATTTGGCCACACTCATCAGAGGAGAATGTTTTCCTAGAGAAAACCTATTCCATTTTTACTGAAATATGCAGAGAATCTTGAAAATGCTAAAACAAGGCTATGTTCCAAAATGGTCCGTTATTAATATTGAATAAATATGTACAAAAAAGCACACGGAAGTTACGTAATATAAAGCAGATGCAAAATATTTCTTTAGTAATATTACTTGAGTATTTTCTGTTACATGACCATATTTGTATTTGCTTTGTAAGCTAACTGTTTTGTTTTGAAAGAAAATCACAACTCATACTTGACATAATTTCTGGTACAACAGAATGAACATGCTTTTAAAATGCTACATGGAAATAATTTCTTTACATCATCCCAACAGGTGGACTTAGATAGTTGAAGAAGGTGAGGAAGAAAAATTAAATGCAAGACCGCATCAGTGACCCAAAAGTTTGCTGTATTTCGGTACAGCAACTGATTCTGATACTACAAGCATGTTGATTCAATCCACAGACTAGTAACTAGCATGTAAAAATGAACCATCTCTGAAATATGTAACATTTATGCATAAGCATAAGCATAAATGTCAGAGTTAATTAGCAAAATAGGTGCAGCAACAATTTTACATCTGTGATAGCTGAAATAATTTAATATTTTAATGATGTAATGATGTATACTAAAGCTCCCGTGAGTTTGAAAGTGCCTATTGAAATAACTATTGACAAGTTCTTTTATGTTCTCAGTGCACTACCTGCTCAGCAGTACGCTGTCATTTTAGAGTAATTGCCCAGCAAACTTTTAAAATGCTGTCACAAAAAAATTGCTTAAACAGAGGTAGCTCTTTAATTTGTCTGCCACTTTTTCTGTCACTCCTACTGCACTTTATGTTGAGTGCAAGGTTTAGCTGTCACGTTTGAAGTTCTTCCACATATTTTTACAGTCTGGGTTGAGGCCATGTTGCCAATTTGTCCTACAATGTTAAGGAAAGTTTTAAATAAAAATATTTTTTTCACACTCCTTTTACTTGTACACTGTAATATAGAAGATTGGAAATTATTCCTCCTATAGTTGGAGGAAACTATTTTGGATCTGTAAAACAGAATGAGTTTCACTAGCGATGATGATTTGTCCAAATTCAGGTGTTTCATAGGAGTATGTGTATGCGTGTGTGTATATGTGTTTTTATATATATGTATAAAATACAACTGCTTAAGAATGGTCAGTAGTTGTTCTGTCCAGGTAAAGGTTCATAAAATGAAAATTTTTTGTTTATGGAAGATGAAAAGGCTTCAGTGGGAAGTTTGAGAACAACTTACCTTATACTTCAAGTGGCCAGGATGCTCAGCTGGGATGTGAGAGAAGGCTAAAGAAAGAACTAGGATATGCCTCTGTACACTGTATTTTTGTAGTGCCCACTGATTTGTTCAGATATGAAACAATAACTCATATGAAAGTTTTGAATTTTCATGAGATGGGAAAACTTTCCTTCACAGTTCTGGATCCAGGAAGTTTCTTGTGCATTAGCTTCTGTTATATGATGCTAGAGGCAAGAAGGCAAAATATAATTCCATTTTTTGTATCTCTTCTAAATGACTTTTTTTTTCTGCTTGCTTTCTTAGGGAGGCCCTTCCAAGCAATAAAATTCTATGTTATCATTCTCCCAAGGCAGAGTGGAGGTATAAAGCAGCTATGTCAGTCAGCAACTTCCGTGCCAAGAAATGGGGAAGAGTTGCTTTAAGGCCACAAGATCGTTATGCAGTCATCAGACTTCCATGTGGTTAGTATTGATCTTTTTTGGATATTCTGAGATCATGAGCAAGAAGTAGGAGGAATTGTCTGGGTCTGTTATCCTTCTTACAAACGAAACTTAACTATGGCATGTATTGCAGACTCTACAATTAAAATTGAGTGTAAAATTCTGAATTACAGCAACTTGATCAGCTAAATGCTCTTACTGCTAGAAAATGGTTTCTGCTGTCTGAATCCCATCAAAATTGGGAACTGTATTAGGAGGAAACAGCTGAAGTTTACTATCACAATGGATCACTTTTTGTTTTCTCATTCCTTAAACAGAATTTTCATATTTAGCTTTCATACTTTTTGAGGGTAAAATGGGGAAGAAAAAATTACTGTTTGTATGATTCCTTTTCAATTTCAATGAAAGAAAAATTACATTTTGATTTTCAACATAATTTAATTCTCTTAAATAAATAGTTATAAAAATAAAAATATGAAGAGCCAAGTATGATATATATATTTAAATGATGGAAGAAAACCTTCTTTTAACATACAGAATTACTAACAGTTTGCACATTTGACTGTAGGGGGAGTGAATATTCATAATAGGAGGAATTTCACAATATGAAATGTCAGTAGTTACTGACAATCTGTAGATATCAAAGAATGAGCACTGGCACATTAATAAGGAACTTAAAAGCAGAGCCACAGTCTAACATCTTAATAACTATAAAACTACAACTTCTACATGAGTCATATGTTTGAACTCCAAACTATCTTATAAAATTTAGCTAGAACACATTTTTCTTGACACAAATGAGTATATTAATTTCCATAAGATATTATCTCTTGCCATATATTTAATTCAGATTCTCTTTCTACTCCCACTAAAATAATTGCTTACAACATACTGACTTGATTTTATATGGCTAATTAGAGCAGTGCATGGAAAAAAATAGGTTTGCAGGTAATACTAAAATTAAATATGTTAATCTGTAGCTCAGTGCACACATTTTGTATGAGCTTTAATTTGCTATATAAATTATAGTTCTGTGTTTATAAAATGCCCTTGAAAGAATGTCCTATTTTTTTGAATACTAATACCACAGGGAAACAAATATACAAAGCTTTTAGCTATAGGCTATATTTGCATAAATTAAGACAAGTAGTCAGTCTGAATATCCAACTGTATATATACTTTTAAAAGATATTCTACATAGAGTTGCTAGGACTTTCCGTATTTAAGATTTACATTTTTTTAACAATGTAGCAGCCTTTCATGATAGGCAAGTGAATTTTGAACAATGAGGCATAAATAGTGTAATAAATAGGCTGTGGTTTATCAGCTAGAGTGTGGAACAAATAATTCAAAAGGCTCTGAACTCATTTCTGTATGAGCTAGTAGCAAATATCTCCAGTACCAGTCTGCTTTACAGGTTTATTCTAGAAAAAGCTGGCATGGCTCTCTCAGTGTAGCTTCCCAGTGCAGTGTATGTATTTTGTGACATGACTGCAGTGACACGTGCTATTCCCACATAGATTCTGGTAACCTCAACTAAAAGACTGATCATCATTGTTTAGAAAACTCTCCTTCCGTGTGAATTCAGTTAATATTCACTAATGATAGGGAGAAGGCAATTACGAAATCTATAATGCAGAGTATGTCCAAAATTTTACTTAAAGGTTGTTATTAAGAAGGGCGAAGGGATATGCATGACCAATACACTTATGCTTTTTTCATAGGCAGAGTGATCAAAACCTTCTCTCCTGTTTATGCAGTGGTAGCAAGTCCAGTATATGGATCAAATCCTTAAATATGTACAAGAACCTAAATCCTTTCCATCTCTGGCCCAAGAACAGCATCTCTACTGGAGGTACGTAGCCATGTGGTGTGGAACGAATAGGAAACATCCCTGAAAATGTTTATTTTAAAACAGTATCTTAATTCATTTTTATTTCCCATGCCTCTGTGTTAGTAATCAAGATCTTGAATGCTCTTGACAGAACAAAGTATCACTGGTCAGAAAGTTTTTGATGAATCTATGACTTAGACTTTCAATAGTGTTAAGGGTATTATCGTTTGGGCTGTATGTTATCGCTTCCTTTACCATCCTAAGAGGCAGCAGTATGCACTGAGTCTTCCCACTAGCTTCACAGTAGAAGAACAAAAAACTCAGAGTTAATTTAACCTTCAGACTGTCAAAGTAAAATAAACAGTATTTTAAATGAAAATAGCTAGTCAGGGAATAGTTCACAGTGAAGAACTTCATTTTTTATTCATTCTCTTCATACAAGGTGAAGATCATACAAGTGAATGTCTAATGTTGTTCCTCTGAGGGAGTGTCATTGAAAGTATCACCTAGAATTAATGGTTTGATGATGCTGAACAAACCAGAGAAAATTGTCCCGGAGTGTTTTTTAGTGACACTACTATTTTTGGATGAAAATTTCCCCCTTGGATTTTATTCATTTTATATAATGCTGTTTGTGTGATTAAGTCATGAATTTAACTTTTTGGCAAAATAACCCTTCAACATCAGCTTTCCAATGAGATTATTTTGGTTGTCCATTGCTACTTGCTGTGATATGGAATTTAGTATAGCGTGACGATAAATCTCCTCATTTACTAGAAGAAAAAAGCACATTACATAAACAAATGTCACCAGCTATGACTGGATACATGACAGTATGAGCCAAAGCCCTAGTTATGAGAACTGGTAGAAGAAATACAATCTCTAGTGATACTTCTGTCAATCTTTAAGCCATGGTCAGAAGTTTATGTGACACCTTTTTATGTCTTCTCCTAGTAATAGCTACTAGACTAGCAATTAAAAAGAAAAAGGAACATTTAAAATATGGAAATTGCCACAAAATTCAATGGTGTAAGGTTTGAGGAGAAGTCCCTCACAAGAAGTCTATTCCAAAAGTATGATAGAAGTCCTGTTAGTTGGTCAATTTTTAATTTTTCTTTTTTTGAAATACAGCAGAACACAGAGCTGAAGGTTATAGTTTTTACAGCCAGTTAGCATGGAAGACTATCATATACAATTTCAAAACACAATGAAAAAAAACCAGCTAGACTGGTCAAAGAAATCCTGTTTCTTAACAAGCACATTGACAAGTTAACTATGACTATAATAGAGGGAAACATGGCAGCTGAATGATAAGGAGGGTATGAAAAGGTCTAACACAACTTCCCAGATTGACTTAGCCTAAGAAGACATTGGCTGGATTTACTGAGAGGATCTGCAGTTAAAACGCACAAACTCCACTTAGGAATGGTAAAAATCAGGGGCAAAGGAAGAATGAGCCTTAGTCCTTTCCTCCCGTTGCAATGAGAGCTCATACAATCTGTGCTGAGAGCAATGTAATTTGCTTCTGCCTGAAAACTGTCAGCTAAGATCAAGTGAAACTTCAAATGGAACAATTTCCTCCAAGAGTTGCTAAATTCTGTCAGTCTTTCTTTGAAACACTGGGGGACAAAACAGGCATATGCTGCAGATCTGTATTTTGGGATGCTCTCTGGGTGGTGTCTACGTAGATGCAATTCTGGAATGTTTGGTGGAACAGAACATGGAATACATAAACATTCTAGGAATGGGAAAGCAGAGGAGAGGGAGAAAGGAAGGAAAAAAATAGATGTTGGCAACTGTTCCAGCCTTTTTTAATCACAGGTTTATCAGATACTGCGTAGTCTCAGTATCTCTGAATTAGTATCTCATTGAGGTGCGAACTTACTAATTAATTTCTAAATAATATTTTGGCTGGAAAGGCAAAGAATTAACAACACAGTTGTCCATCTTCAAAGATGGAGAATACCAGAACTAAACCATGCAGAGAATAGCAAACTAGAATATTTTTTCTGACTAAGACTACTGTAGGGTGTTAAAAACAATCACAACACTTGCATCTGATACAGGATCCTTTTAATTAATTAGTCAACAATGGTCAGGTCTTAAGTCAATGCACCAGAGTCACTGGACTGAACTGGACTAAATCTAATTATTCCCAGTTCCTACTGTCAGACAAAGATGTTTTGATAATGACTTCTAACAGAGTAACAATGATAGTGCTAAAAAAGAGGAGGAAATAAAAGATGATTCTTCAAAATAAAATCAGTTTTATATCAACATATGTATCTAAGAACTGCAAGTACTATGTCTTAAATCAATCAAACATCTGCTTTTTGATTTTGAAAATCTGTGACTACTATCCCACTGAGCTTCTCCATTTGCTCTGATTGTAAGGAGTGTTGTTGAAGCTTGTTGACATAGTTTTCAAACTTTTCACATTACAAGGAAGGTCACTGCATTCAGCCCATGCTACACTCTTTTTTCACACACACTGACACTCACTTCTACTATTGGACATATTTTACACAATATAATGAGTCGTGCTATTGGGGCTACAGAAGTTGTTCTGAATTTGTCACACATTGCATCCCACCTTTGGGCCTTGGCTGAAAGAGGTCTGTCTGGCAGTGGGAAAAGACAGAATGGAGAGAATCTTGCTTTTAATTCACTAATTCATTTGACCCTTTTTTCATACAAATTGGCATGGTTATCTGCCTTTTCTTCCAAAGCTCACACTCTGCTCTTCCAGATTTAAGGTTCACGTGTAATGAGTTTTTTTTGATGTCACTTGTTTTTGGAAAATGCGACAAACCCCTAAGTTTTAGGGTTCTAAAAAATTTGGGAAATCTATTAGTTAAAACAACTGGAAGTATTTTTTAAAAAACACAACAAAACAAACCCCATGCTAACTATGCTTAGTACTGTCAATATGATGAGATACATGCAGATCCTCAGCTGTGGCTCTGGTACAGAAATTCTGTAGTGTGTGATGTTTTAATCTTCAACATGATTTAGCTGCTAGAAAATGCGTATTTTTAATATCAAAGTTTTGTTATATAAGCATAGGAAAATTTTGCAAGCCATCAAACTTAATTTTTTCTTACAACTGTTTAAGTTAAAAATGAACTAAACTTTTCCCAAAAACTGATCTAAAAAATAATTACATTTCTGTTTGAGTCTTTATATGCCAAGTTATAGCCTAATATCAAAGTGTAACTATTTATCTATTAAGAATTCCAGTAAATCCTCTTTACCACTCTTGGATCAAAACATGAAATCTTTAAAAACCTTTCCTTTTGACTTTGATTCTCCCACCTTTCTGTGTTTATGACAAGTGATATACCTGTATGTCTGGATTCTGTGCAAAGCAGAATTGTTCAGTGGAATTATTATTTTTGCCTAGATATTTTATTGTGAATATTCCTATAAGTAATCCCAATGACATAATTTCTTCCTAAATGATTATTTCTAAATGCTTTAAAAGAGCATAGTAGCTGTCTTATAAAAAGATACGGCTTTTTGGAATACTTGCCTGCTTCCAATGCACAGTGTCCATTGCCAGCCTACGCATCAGCTTTAGAAAGCAGCGTCACTGTTTTCTCAATTTTTTTTTTCTTTTTTCTTTCGATCTGTGAAAAATCCCAGTCTTGTGAAAAGCGCTAATTAATGCTGGTGAGATCTGTGGAGTTGGACCCTCGTGGGAGTAGCTAAATCAGGGTAAACTGAGTATTAAGCTTTAAAGTACTATTTTATGGCTACCAGCACATGAGCCAGATGACAATCTGGCCATCAGTTCATACTTGTGGCATTTGTTCTTCATCTGTGTAGAGCAGAGGCTGCCGTGTGAAGTGTCGGGCCATGCATCCTGCCACGAGGGGCTCCATCAGTGTGAAGGTTGGGTGGTTATACACATCGCAAGCCTTATTCTTAAGAATAAAGGAGTGTTGGTAGGACTGACAGGCTGCGCTGAAACTGCGGGCGCTCAGCGGCCCGAGCTTGACCTTCTCCATCCTTGAAGGGCCCTTCCAGACAATGACACATCGGGGCCGTGTCCCCTCACCTGGGCAGCCGGGCACAGCGTTCGCCAGGAGAACGCTTGGGCTTGCGGGAAGGTCGCAGAACAGGACGCCGCGATTTGCTCAGGGCAGCCCGGGCGGCAGAGCTTTGTACGAGCCCACGCGGTGGGCAGAGCGAGCGGCTCCCGGCACGGCCCGTGCAGCCCGCGGCCCCCGGCAGCTCCCAGCTCGCCTTCGCCCCCGGGCTGCGCGGATGGGAAGCCCCCGGAGCTGTGCCGCAGCCGTGCCGTGCCCCCGGGCTGCAGGCGGCCCCACGCCGGGGGTGGCTCCCGGGCTGGGGCAGGGACACGGACAGGAACAGGACAGGGACAGGGGCTGGGGCAGGGACAGGAACGGGAAAAGGGGCAGGGATAGGGTAGGGGCTGGGGCAGGAACAGGGCAGGGACAGGACAGGCACAGGGGCAGGGGCAGCGATAGGGCAGAGGCTGGGGCGGGGACAGGCTGCCGCCTGCTGCCGGCCGCCGCGCGGGTAATCACACGTCCCCCCTCACTGCTGATTTGCAAGAGCAGATTAATCAGAGCGCGCGGCTTGATGAAATTTGCTGTTATTGTGCCCATTTTTAGCAACATCTTTTATTATCTTCATTATTCATTTACAGGGGACCGGCATCAATTATGCAAATGAGTTCACAGACTTTGCAGATTACTTCATTTGCCGCTATTGTTTGTGGAAATTTAATTATTAAATATTATTAAGCTTGCGTTTTCTTCAATTTTCCGAGGCTTAGTTTCATTTGATTTTTCCTCCAGCTGCTCTCGTTTCCTTTCAGTGCCAAAACAGCTCCTCATCAAAGCGGCTCTGGCATGTGAAGACCAAATAAAATCTCCTCAATTTAATAATTTTGATGTTAGTCCCTTGTTCTCAGCTGCTTGCTCAAAGCAATGCAGAGAGAAACGCAGAGCACATTCAATTTAATGAGTAGAAATTGAATTCAAGTTTGTTCG